GGAGGAGCGACAGGCCCCCACGGACGGGAGGCCCGGGGAGGAGCGACAGGCCCCCACGGACGGGAGGCCCGGGGAGGAGCGACAGGCCCCCACGGACGGGAGGCCCGGGGAGGAGCGACAGGCCCCCACGGATGGGAGGCCCGAGGACTTTGACAATATTAGTCGCTGAAAAACGTCAGAAATGTTTATTTGTTGGTTTATTTTTCTCACTTTAACCTATACATAATAATCCCGCACACTACTAGTGGCCCAATCATTGTCCTTCACCCAAATATTCTCCTGAGAAAGCCCAAACCTCACTTTTACTTTCTTCAATATTCAGGTTCATTAACATTTTGGATGACGGAGATCTTCTGTAGATGTTCAATAAGGAGATGAACCCTCAAAAATACAACTTGCCCAATAATTGTGCGCACAGTGTAGGATAATAGGCAGGCTATGCAAATATGTCCCCACTTCCGACTAATGACAATGTCCTGATGGGAGTAGTAGATCAGGTCCTGGGGAAGGCGTCTACAGATGAGGACCCTAGGGGTGCACTGCACAGACACGGCCAGGAGAGGGAGACATCCACCACAGGATGAAAACATACACTATATTGCCAAACGTATTGGGACGCCCCTCCCCCTCCAGATCATTGCATTCAGGTGTTCCGTGTGTGAAAGAACGGGTCGCTCTCAGGAGCTCGGTGACTACAAGCGTGGTGCCGTGATAGGTTGTCACCTGCGCAATAAGTCCATCCGTGACATTTCCCGGCTACTAAATATTCCGCCGCGGTCACCTGTTACTGGGATTATAACAAAGTGGAAGCAACTGGAACATCATGGGGGGGTTCAGGGGTTGGGCTCCGCCCCTTAGTTCCAGTGAAGGGAACACTTAAGGCATCAGCACACCAAGACATTTTGGACAATTTCATGCTCCCAACTTTGTGGGAGGAGTTTGGGGACGGCCCCTTCCTGTTCCAACATGACTGCGCACCAGTGCACAAAGCAAGGTCCATAAAGACACGGAGGGGGAGGGGGGGGGTGGAGGAACGTGACTGGCCGCACAGAGTCCTGACCTCAACTCCATAGAACACCTTTGGGATGAATTAGAGGCGGAGACTGCGAGCCCCTCCCCCAACATCAGTACCTGACTTCACAAATGGTCCAACATTCCCATAGACACACTCTAAAACCTTGTGGACGCCTTCCCAGAAGAGGCGGAGCTGTTATAGCGGCAAAGGGCGGAGCCAACCCAATACTGAACCCTACGGACTAAGACTGGGGGGCCATTAAAGTTCATGTGCGTGTAAAGGCGTCCCAATACTTCTGGCAATATAGTGTACAATGGAGAAGCGGACCCATGGGAGCTCACTAGGTATGAGTCTGTGTAGGGGGGCAGGAGGGATCGGTAGTATCATCTTAAAGGGCCCAGAAGGATAAGTTCAGTTTTTTTTAAAGCACATTTATACCGTAACAATAGATTTTGGGTTTCCCCATCTGGCCGCCCACAGGGAGCGCACTCACCTGTACTGCCTGGCTCTGTCCATACATTCATGCTGCTCCATCCCCTGGGACTCCACAGCCGATACGTCAATGATGTTCCTGTGCAGACGGAGGAGAGGACGCACATCAGTGTCATGGTGCGTTCATAAATATTACAACTACAGGTCACGGGGCCCCCCGCAGCAACACTGAACAAGAGTCGCGGTACTAAGCATAATGACATCACAATGTCTGATATGATGACATCATCGTCGGTGCTTGTACACCTGCAGCGGAGGATCTCAGACCAGAGACGGCCATTGCGGAGTCTCCTGTATGTCTGACGTCAGGTCTCTTGGGGTGGAAATGTCTCGGGGGGCTTCAGCAGCAGCTTCTGCAATCCTTAACCCGTTCACTCCCAACGCTGTATTCGTTAGGGCTCCGGGCCCCTGAGAACAGGCCCCTGGCAGGTACAGCCACTGAGAGTCTGTTCACATGTGTAAAGCCGTCTGTCGGCGTTACAATGGAAGCGATTCGGGAAGCTGAAAAGCCACCAGATGACTTCCAGGGGAGCAGAGGCAGACGCAGCGGGTGAGGACTTGCACTGTGGCTGGGCGGAGCCTGATGGGGATGCTGAGGGACTAGTTCCCCATCAGGTCCGTTCTGCTGCTGACTGACCGCAGGCAATGGGCAGATTCTACAGGCTGGCTATTGGCTCTGCGGTCAGTCACAAGGGAGACAGACGTGATGGGGAACTAGTCCCTCAGCTTCCCCATCAGGCTCCGCCCACTCAGTCACATCATTGGTTGCCATGGGACTGTTGGATGTGACGTCACAGGTATCTCTGCAACCAGCGATTCATCCCTGGCCCCATTCTGCTGCCGGCTGGGAGATTTCCTGCCAACAGCGGAATGTAAACAAAGGGGCCCCGAGGCCGATACCACATCCACCCCGCATTCCCGGCCCCCGTGTGTGTACAGGAAGTCATGTTTCCAGGTCAGACACCCTCCGTCTATACTCACTGAGCCGTCCTGGCCAAGATACGGGAGAGCAGCGCCTGCTCGTCTGTCCGGGCCGCCGGGTTATTGATAGAGTTTGGTTCGGATCCATTTGGCGTCCTGTTGGGAAGCGTCTGGTTGGAGGGCAGCAGATGTTCCCTTTCTCCTTGATCCTGCCATGAAACAAATATCAGAAATACTCCTCAATCTGACATCACCACACCACCTGTCACTGCACCCGGGTAGTTGGGGCCCCCAAGTCACTAAAAAGCCATCAGAGGGGCAACTTTTTCACATTGTCATCACCCAGAAGGAGGGACAGGAAGTGAGCTGAAGTCTTCTCGGAGCCCTCGGCCACATGACCAGGCTGTAGCTGAGCAGGGAGCGGACAAAGTGCTGACTCCGCCTCTCCCGCAACTCACTGCCACCCTGCATTGTATGCAACTGCTAGAATGGCGACTTCCTGGTCCCCATCTTTCTTCCCTCCCGTAGCGGATCTTATGTCCTCTGTGTGGAAGGCGGAGGCTTCTCTATTGTCCCTGCCCCCCCATAGCACCGCCTTGAGTCTGTCATGGGGATGACACGTCTGACCCTATATCAGAGGGGCACACGCCAAACCAATGTGTACCCAGAAACCAGCATGGCCGGAGCCACCGTTCTCCAGGCGCCATCTACTGACTGCTACGCAGCAGCTGCCACCTTAACCCCCCTCCCCCCAAGATGGCATTCCAAGGAGGATAAGGCTGTAAAGCAGCAGAACACTCAGGGAACTCCGACAGAGCAGAATAGGTGAACTTCATTGGCAGAAATCAGGCTGTCAGGGGAGGGGGCGTTACAGAAAACCTGTGCATTACCCTCCGGAGACTCCTACAAGAAATCCACCAATCAGAAGACCGTAATGAGACTGTGATTGCGAGGGAAGACATTCCTCTGCACACACCCGACTTCCTGTCAGCTGAAAACTAGCCAAACCTTTACCTAGAACTGTCTGCGCTGCGCCCTCCCACCCTCTACGGAAGCACGCACAGAATGCGGTGACAGCTACTGATCGTCTCACCCCCTTGCCGGTGTCGGTCTCCCCACTGTAGCAGCAGCCCATGTCCGCCCCGGGTGAGCCTGGGAGAGCCCAGACACTCTGCTCCCTCACATGACCAGGGGGAAGTGGCTAGCGAGAGATAAACTTCCTTTTCCGGTTTGGAAAGAGCAGTCACGGGACTGGTTGTCAGGGCAACGTGGGAAGGTGGGAGGTAGCGAGCGTGCGTGCGTGTGGCTTGAGTATGGGCGGGGCAAAATATGGATTCTATAGGGTAAGAGTGGCCTTATGGAAAAAAAAGGGCGGGCCGAAATGAACTAATCAACACTAGACGGGGCGGGGCTCAAATGAAGGGACTTGAGACCTTTCTAGGAGTGGGCGTGGCATAAAGCAGTGTTTTGCTTGTTTTGAAAGAAGGAATGTTGGGCGTGGCAAAGTGAAATGGAGTGATCAGGCAGAACAAGGCGGGCCCTTTGTGGGAGTGGGCGTGGCGCAGTGGAGGTAAGTGTAGAGGAAGGCGCGGTGAAGCACAGTTAAGGGCGGAGCTCTGCGGTGTGGGGGCGGAGCTTTCTGGTGTGAGGGCGGAGCTTTGTGACACCTGGCTGACTAAAAATACAAACAATGTCCTCTCACTAGAACCTTCTGTATGGAGGGGAACATCGCTGATAGAGGCCATTTCTTGTTGCCTGTAGTAAAGCATCCAGCTGGTTGCTATGGGTAACATGCAAATCATCCAGCTGGTTGCTATGGACATTATGAAATGTTGCTAGGAGACTTTGAGCGCATCACCCTCCCCCCACTCTTGGCTCCTCCTCCTGAAGTGTCATAGAGGGGGGAAGGGACACAATGGGGAGAGCAGAGGGGTCACTATGATGTGTATTCTGGGGGTTTGTTCCTGGCCAATGCGGGTTGACCCTTTACTGTCCATAGAATGGGCGGGGTCAGATATAAAGCCCCTCCCACTCCATCCAGAGGAAGCTCCTCATAAGCAGAGCACGGCCCTGTCTGGTGGGGTCTTGGGAAGGACCTGGCTTGTCCCTCCCCCAAACTGTGATTAGGCAGTGAAAGGAGAAGCAGAAGACTGATCTCTCTGGCACTCTGCTCTCTCCTCCTATCAGCATGCCGCCAGCACACTTGATTGGCTCCTCTGCTGCTTCTCCCTCCCCCGACTTCAGCCAGGTTTTGGTTTTTCAATAGTTCATATTTCTGTGCGTGACCCCCATAGAGGAGATTTCTTCCCATTTCCTGTCTCAGTATTAGGGACTATCGGAGGGATTTTGGTAAAATTTGGGGGAAATTGTTATTATTTGTTCCGTTATTTTATGTTCTGGATTTCCTGTCGTATTTCTGTGGTTTGTGAAGAACTCTTATTCTGCTTTCATTGTGTCTTCTGTGGGCGGCCAAGAGCCCATCGGCTACAATGTAACAATGGGAGGAGCCATAGATGTGTTACAATGTATCAAGAGCCCGCCCACTGCTTCCGTCACAGCTCAGGAGTACTGAGACGGCTGCTGGGATGTCTAGGGGACTTTGTACAGCACACTGCTGGCCCCTCCCACCAGCCATGATCTGCCTGCCAGCTCCTCCCATCAGCCATGATCTGCCTGCCAGTCCCTCCCACCAGGAATGATCTTCCTGCCAGCTCCTCCCACCAGCCGTGATCGGCCTGCCAGCTCCTCCCACCAGCCTTGATCTGCCTGCCAGTCCCTCCCACCAGGAATGATCTTCCTGCCAGCTCCTCCCACCAGCCGTGATCGGCCTGCCAGCTCCTCCCACCAGCCATGATCTGCCTGCCTGAGGGGGTAGGGGGGACCAGGAAAGACTAAGTAGGACTTTTCATTGGACGGCACGTTCCCTGAGCTGCACATTATTGTTCCCGTCCTCCGCGTGAGCTCAGATAGTTCTCCCTTCCCCGCAGTTACAACATGTCAGCCATTTCCTGTATGTGTGACTGCCCCTCCCCCGTGTCCCCGTCACCCTTACCCCGCTTCCAGCACAGTGAGGGATGTTTCCAGCACCTGACACAGCGATCTGCACAATGAGAAGCCCAAATCACCCCCCTTCCCCCGCACAATGTCATCACCGAGACCCGACCCCAGGACACCCCATTATGAGGGGCCCCCACCATCCCTGTGCTGAGTTCCCGGGTCTGTACACCCGCTGTGCCCATTATGAGGGGCTCCCACCATCCCTGTGCTGAGTTCCCGGGTCTGTACACC